CAGGGCAAGGCGTGCGAAGCGGTGGAGCAGCGGAGTTGCCACCGGAGGTGAGCGGAGCGAGGCGGAGGGGAGCGGAGCGAGGCGGCGACGAACGACAGGAGAGAGCGAGCCGCTGCTGCTACTGCAGGAGGCCAAGGCCGGGGACGCCTTCCTGCATCAACGCCCGGCTGCATCAACGCCTCAGCTGGGGCCCCTGCTACCTAGGCCGCTGGGGCCGCCCTTGCCGTGGGACCTTGGCCATCTGTGCTGCCGCGCGGGCCGCGGCGTTGTGGGCGTCGTCTTGCTAGGCCCTTGCCGTCTGGAGCTTGTCGGCGGGGCCTTCGCCATCTGGCCGCACAAGACGCCCAGCCGTCGGGCCCAACATTGTTACTTCTCCCAACTGGGCCTTTCCATCGGAACCCATCCCAGACGCGAAGCCTCTACCCTCCAGGCCCTGCCGAGTGGGCCACTGCATTGCAGGAGCCAGTGGAACTGGGATCTGGGCTGCTTGCCCATACGGGCAAGCAGTGTGTAGACCTCTTTGCAGTGGGTAGACCCCTGGGCAGGCAGTGGGTGGACCTCTTTGTGCTGACCTTTCTGTGGTGACCGATACTGTGTTGACCTTTTTGTGCTGACCTCTTTCTGGTGTTAATCGATACTGTGATAGACCAATTTGTGCTGACCACCGCCGTGTTAACCATCTCCGGAAGACAGAAGACTTATCCGCTTTTTCTACATCAACCGTCCAGAGTTTACATCTTGAATCATAATAACCTTACCCGATTGTTGTCACCGACATCTTCCTAATATTGTGATTATATATTACCAACATAGTACGTTCCTTGGTTGCCTTTTGTTGCTAAATTGACATAAGAACGCAATATAGCACTTTAAGGTGCCTGCCTAACTGCTGCTAATTGTACTAGTACTTATATCCTCCCTAACCCTCTATGCCGCACTTTAGTTAGCGTCGAGAGCGAGACTCGGGTATTACTGCACTTTAAGCTCTTTGCACTTTATAATCTACCCAACGGCACGTAGTTGTGCTGTGATTGAGTTGTGTTGTTGACTGTGTTTGCACTTTAAGACCTTGCACTTTATAAACTATCTAACGGTTGTGGCTGGAACGCTTATTACCATCTGATTCTATTATTATCCATGTGGTCCCCCATCCCCCTACTTGTACTGTCCCTGTTATTACTGACCAGTGGAAGGGGCAAGGGAGGAAGTGGGCTGGAGCCTGTGAGCAACAATGAGGTGGGGAGGGGGGAGAAAGGGAAACAAGGGAGTTGGCAAGGGCCAACAAACCAAACAATTAGCAATACAGAAACTAAGACCTTGGTTTTGGGCAGCGGCATGGAGGGGGGGAGGTGTTCCACGAGTCGAGGGGCCCCCATAGAGGTCGTGGTGGGGAGGGGGAGATGCGGAAAAAGGAGACCTCAAATTCGGCCTAATTCGGACCGCTTATCCACATTAAAAATTCCAAACCGGTCTCCTAAGGTAAATTGGTGTAACCAGGTGAGCGGGCCCTCTGGATTGAAGGTAGTGCTGTTGAACGCCAGATCTGTCAACGGAAAAACGACCTTTATCCAGGATTTAATCCTGGATGAGCGGGCAGATCTGGCGTGCATTACGGAGACCTGGCTGGATGAAGCTGGAGGCGTAAATCTGGCCCAGCTTTGTCCTCCAGGGTTCTCCGTACAGCACCAACCGAGATCCGGAGGATGGGGAGGCGGGGTTGCAGTGGTCTATAGAGATTCCATCCATCTGACCAGGAGTCCCATCCCGCAGACCACAAATTTTGAATGCGTCCACCTGAGGGTGGGTGACCGGGACAGAATAGGGATTCTGCTAGTGTACCGTCCACCTCGCTGCACTACAGTCTCCCTACCTGAGCTAGCGGGGGTAGTCTCGAGCCTGGCGTTGGAGTCTCAGCGGCTTCTTGTGCTGGGAGACTTCAATATCCATGCCGAGGCGACCCTCACAGGAGCGGCTCAGGACTTCATGTCTGCCATGGCAACCATGGGGCTGTCCCAACAAATATCTGGCCCCACCCACTGTGCTGGACACACATTGGATTTGGTTTTCTGCCAGGGATGGGAACAAGGTGGCGGTGTGGAGGAGTTGTCCATCTCTCCGTTGCCATGGACCGACCACTTCCTGATCAGATTTAGGCTCACTGCACCCCCTAACCTCTGCAAAGGTGGAGGACCCATTAAGATGGTCCGCCCCAGGAGGCTTATGGATCCGAATGGATTCCTGACGGCTCTTGGGGAGTTTCCCGCCTCCTCGGTAGGTGACCATGTCGAGGCCTTGGTCGCTCTCTGGAATGGGGAGATGGCCAGGGCAATTGACGTGATCGCTCCGGAACGTCCCCTCTCAAGTAGCCGAGCTAAACCAGCTCCTTGGTTTACTGAGGAGCTGGCAGTGATGAAGCGAAGGAAGAGGGAACTAGAGAGCGTGTGGCGTTCGGACCCAAGCGAGTCAAATCGAGCACGGTTTGTGTCCTTTTTAAGGGCATATGCCGCGGCAATAAAAGCCGCAAAGAAAACTTTCTTTGCGGCCACTATTGCGTCTGCAAAAACCGTCCGGCGGAGTTGTTCCGGATTGTCAGAGGTCTTTTAACTCCCGCCACCTCAGGCGGGAGCCCTGACAATTCGGTCACGCGCTGTGAAGCATTTGCTCGGTTCTTTGCAGACAAAGTCGCTTTGATCCGTTCTGGGCTGGACACCATGTTAAATGCAGTCTCTGAGGATGTGACACGAGCACCTGCTTGTCCTATTTTGATGGATTCTTTTCAATTTGTGAAGCCGAGGATGTGGACAAGATACTTGGAGGAATGAGGCCCACTACGTCCATCCTAGACCCCTGCCCATCCTGGCTTCTGAAGGAGGCCAGAGGGGGATTGGCTGAGTGGGTAACGGTGGTGGTTAACGCCTCCCTCCGGGAAGGCAAAATTCCAGCGAGCCTAAAACAGGCTATTATAAAACCGCTGTTGAAGAAACCATCACTGGACCCCACTAAATTTGACAACTTTCGGCCTGTTTCCAATCTCCCCTTTTTGGGCAAAGTCATGGAAAGTGTGGTGGCCTCACAACTCCAGGTATTCTTGAGAGACACGGATATTCTGGATCCGGCACAGTCTGGTTTCAGACCGGGACATGGAACCGAGACAGTCTTGGTCGCCTTAGTGGATGATCTGCGCCGGGAGCTAGACAGGGGGAGTGTGTCCCTGTTGGTGCTCTTGGACCTCTCAGCGGCCTTCGATACCGTCGACCACGGTATCCTTCTGGGGCGCCTTGTGGAGATGGGCCTTGGGGGCACTGCTCTGCAGTGGCTCCAGTCATTTCTGGAGGGACGCACCCAGAAGGTGTTATTGGGGGACTCCTGTTCAACACCACAGCCTTTGACCTGTGGGGTTCCACAGGGTTCTATACTGTCCCCCATGCTGTTTAATATCTACATGAAACCGCTGGGGTGAGATCATCCGGAGTTTCGGGGTGCGGTGTCATCTGTACGCAGATGATGTCCAACTCTGTCACTCCTTTCCACCTGCTACTAAGGAGGCTGTCGAGGTCCTGAACCGGTGCCTGGCCGCTGTAATGGTCTGGATGAGGGCGAACAAACTGAAATTAAATCCAGACAAGACAGAGGTACTCCTGGTCAGTCGCAAGGCCGAACAGGGTATAGGGTTACAGCCTGTGCTGGACGGGGTCGCACTCCCCTTGAAGGCGCAGGTTCGCAGCTTGGGGGTGACCCTGGATTCATCATTGAGCCTGGATCCCCAGGTTTCAGCGGTGACCAGGGGAGCCTTTGCACAGCTTAGGCTTGTGCGCCAGCTGCGCCCGTACCTTGGGAAAGCCGACCTGGCCACGGTGGTACACGCTCTGGTCACATCCCGCCTTGACTACTGCAACGCTCTCTACGTGGGGCTGCCCTTGAAGACGGCCCGGAAGCTTCAGCTAGTCCAGCGCGCGGCAGCCATGTTACTAACTGGAGCGGGACGCAGGGAGCACACAACGCCCTTGTTGTCTCAGCTCCACTGGCTGCCGATCTGCTACCGGGCCCAATTTAAGGTGCTGGTGTTATCCTACAAAGCCCTAAACGGTTCCGGCCCAAAATACCTTTCGGACCGCATCTCGGCCTATGAGCCCACGAGGGCCTTGAGATCATCTGGGGAGGCCCTTCTCTCGATCCCGCCTGCTTCACAGGCACGTCTGGCGGGGACGAGAGAGAGGGCCTTCTCGGTGGTAGCCCCCCGGCTGTGGAACACCCTCCCTGTTGACATCAGACAGGCGCCCTCCCTGATGTCCTTCCGAAAAAGCTTGAAGACATGGCTTTTCGAGAAGGCATTTAATTAAGTGCTATTAATCGGTAATTGACGACGGGAACGGATTACGGACTACGAACTTGGCTATGATTCTATGATGAGACGAAGCGGACCATTTAGTTGTAATTATATTATTCTGTATTATTGTTATTGTTGTTCTTGCCTTTTGTAATTGTTTTTATATGTTGTACACCGCCGCGAGTCGCCCTAGGGCTGAGAGCGGCGGTCAACAAATGAAGTAAGTAAATAAATAAATAAATAAAAATAACAGAGGGAGCTCACGTCACTTCCCGGATTTGAACCTGTGACCAAGTTCAGCAGCTCAGTATTTTAACCTATTTATTATTTATTTAAAACATTTATATTCCGCCCTTCTCACCGCGAAGGTGACTCAAGGTGGAGCACAACATATAAACGGCAAACATTCAATGCTGGGACATAAATAAACTATACACATACATAAACATTAAAATCCGTTATCTCAGTGTTAAAATTCACTGTTTAAAACCATATACTCAACTAGTCCATTTGACTTCTATATATAGAAATGGAAGAAGACCACAATTTAACTTGGTCAGCTCTAGCAACCAAGTGAAAACTTCTGTCTCACAGGGTCAGATGATGCCATTGGTTAGCAGGTTCCCCTTGTTGTGTAATTTCTCTGATAGATATTTGATTATTGGTGACATACCTGGGATGACAATGGTGTGCAAAGGCATCACTTCAGCTCCTTGAATGGGGTAGCTTAAGGGGACGTTTGGTTGAGCAACAAGGACATCTTTTTTCTGATAAGAATATCTAAGCCAAAGCAACAACAAGAAAAACATGATAGCAGGGAGATAGATCTGAAAAACCTTTCAAAAGCCAAATCAAAAGATGAGGACAAAATGAGGTAAAGTCAGAGGTGGAGAAAAGGGTGGTATGTGTGACTGCAAACACGTATATATACACACACACCCTACTAAATAAATACCTTTGGAACTATACCCTTTTCAAGGAATCCTAAATCACACACAATGAGTAATTAAACTTCAATTTCTTTCATCAGTGAACAATGTAACTGCAAATCAATCACAAGTTTCAACTAAGTCATGCAAAGCGTGAGCCAACTTTTTTGCTCTACAGAATTCTCCTCAAGAATAATGTTTGGAAAGAGAAGAGGAAAAGAAAGAAACAATATTGGTACAAGTGCAAGCATCCAGTAATTCCTTTGTAGACTAGGTTGCACCAATGCAAATTACAAGGGTTGAATGAAAAGTAATGCCTCCACCTTCGTAACTCCTCAACAGATGGCAGTACTGGTATGCAGCAGGTTCTGGCTTGTTCAGTAGACTCTCCTCTACAGCTCCATTTTGGCGGGAAGCCTTAGAATGTAACGGTTGTGTTGTTAAAGTGCATAGACGGTTGGTCAATGCGACTTAAGCAATGTGCAGTCATTGAATTCTTGACAGCAGAAGGTGTCACCCCAAAGGAGGTTCATCAGAGATTGCAAGCTGTTTATGGTGATTGTATTGATGTGAGTACTGTGCATTTTTGGGTGAGTAAGTTTAAAGATGTTGAGGTGAGAACAACTAAAGAACTGGACGTCCTGTGACAGCAACCACTGAGTTTCACAAGGTTGACAGATCGATTCAGGACAATCGTCGTATCACTCAGAGAGAAATTTAATGCATAATCGGCATTTCACAAGAATGTGTGGGTCATATCATTGCTTTGCTTGGCTATTGGAAGATCTGTGCACAATGGGTACCCAGGATGAAAGAACTGTGAGACGCTGGTTGCGGTAATAAAGTGTCAACTTCTTCCGTGACTGCTTCAGAAAACGTGTTCATTGTTGGCAGAAATGTATCCAATTGTCTGGTGATTATGTGGAAAATTGAATAGTGGTAGTTAAAGAGCACATTCTAAGGATTATTTCTGCGTTTGATTTATTAAAATATTCCCATCCAAACCCAAGTAACGAAGGTGGAAGCATTACTTTTCATTCAACCCTTTTATCTCTTAATTCAAAACTATTAAATCCTAAATAGAATCTGTAGGGAGCATAAGCAAATCAAGAATCCTCATATTAATCAAGCAGGAACACATTTGTTCGGTTTAGGATCAACAGAAGCCGGGGTCAGCAATCAGAAGGCATTTTTTTTAAACAAAGTAAATAATATACAGCTGTAGCAGTTTGATGAACAGCTCAGGTATGCCATGCACCTTCCACACTACAGAATTCAGCTGAGTTAATTTTTAGTCCTTCTCTGCTCTACTCTCTCAGGTCACCTTGGGAACTGTAGTCCACAAATTTCCAGCAGAGACTATTACAGAAGAGTCTTGCTTATCCAACATAAACGTGTTGGCAGAACGTTGGATAAGCGAAAATGTTGGATAATAAGGAGGGATTAAGGAAAAGCCTATTAAATGTCAAATTATGTTATGATTTTACACATTAAGCACCAAAACAACATGTTTTACAACAAATCGACAGAAAAAGCAGTTCAATACACAGTAATGTTATATAGTAATTACTGTATTTACAAATTTAACAGCAAAACATCACAATGTATTGAAACAGCTGTGGATCCAGGCGGGAGGCAGACTGTGTTGGATGATACAGAACATTGGATGAGTGAAGGTTGGATAAGCAAGATTCTCCTGTATGTAACTCACCAAATGACAAACCCCATGATTCTTTTGAATGGAGTGTGACAGTGAAAATAGTATGAGGCTATTGTAATTGTGCTGTATAGCAGACACCATCATTTTTTCCTTAAATGACTAGTTAGGAAACTGCTTAAAATAATCCAGTTTCTTCTGAATGACCCATACGATCCAATTCTAGGAAATATGTCTCTGTTCACTTGGGTGGTTTAAAGGTACCTTCTCTGATCATTCTTGAATTCTTTCTCACGTCTTTTTGTGACCGAAGCAAGTTTGTCCTTGTCAATATAACTATCCAATTGATAGACCTGCAGTTTGTCCTTTTTGACACATTCACAGTAATTCTTTGGACCTAGCCTAATGAGAAAGTGAGAGAAGCAAAAATTGTATACAATCAATAAAAGATATAATAATAATAATAATAATAATAATAATAATAATAATAATAATAATGATGATGATGATGATGATGATGATGGAGCCCCTGGTGGTACAGTGGGTTAAACCATTGAGCTCAACAGCTTGCGGACCGAAAAGTCACTGGTTCGAATCTAGGGAGTGGGGTGAGCTCCCGCTCTTAGCACCAGCTTTTGCAACCTAGCAGTTCGAAAACATGCAAATGTGAGATCAATAGGTAACGGCGAAGGTAACGGCGCTTCATGCAGTCATGCTGGCCACATGATCTTGGAGGTGTCTATGAACAACGCCGGCTCTTTGGCTTAGAAATGGAGTTGAGCACCAACCCCCAGAGTCACACACGACTAGACTTAATGTCAGGGAAAAACCTTTACTACTACTACTACTACTACTACTACTAATAATAATAATCATATACTTTATTTATATTCCACTCTATCTCCCCCGAGAGGACTCAAAGCAGATTACAGAACACATTTATGGCAAACATTCAATGCCATTATACAATTAACAACAAAGACAGACAATATGTAGACAGAGGCAAGGCTTCCCTCTTTTTCATCTCCAGCATCCGGAGGCTGTGCTCGACTCGGCCATGAGGAGGTGCTGTTGTTCCATTTTTCAGGCCAAGGACCCTATTGTCCATGGGCGCCTTCATGATCAAATTGCTGGCATGTTTTTTCAGGGGTGCCTTTTACCTCCTCGCCAAAGGTGTACCTATTTATCTACTCACATTGCTGTTTTCGAACTGCTAGGTAAGCAAAACCTAGGGCTGATAGTGGGAGTTCACCCCAACCCACGGCTTGAACTGCCAACCTTCTGGTCAACAAGATTTTCTGTATCAGGCAGTTTAATCCACTGTACTAGCTGCAGCCCCTCTATCTAAAGATTTGCCTGGGAAAAGATTTTTGACTCTCAAACCTTTTCTTATGAACATCTTGATATACACTCACAAAATATACACACACAAAATTCAGGTGTTGCCAATCCAGTTGTATTCAGGATTCAAAATAACTACAGTTGGCTCCTGAGGCAAAGGACAAGATGCCACTTGTTTCTATGCTATGGGCAGAAGCTAACCAGACTGGAAGTTAAATTTCATCAATGCCTGTCCTGACTCAGAAACTCAGGACCGGCAAAACGAATTATCAGAAAGGTCATCTTCTTGACTAACAATAAAATAATCAGTGTGGTCTTTAAAAAAACCTGTTATATATAAATCTATCTTCATAGATTTAATGTTGGCCCTGTTATTCAAATATAGCCATAACAGAGGCAAAATTCCTGAAAAGTACCAGATCCTGTCCTGTATTGGATGTTAAGCAAGGTCAGTTATAGTTGGTACTTGGATGAGAAATTGTCAAGGCATGTCAGAGACAGTAGGCTAGAGGGCTAGAGGAGTGTGCTGCTGTGGCTGCTATAGAAGAAGCCGGAATATCCCACAAGCTCTCCTGCTCCCGGTTTTGGAACTCCTCGTGAGTAAGACTGCAACCCCAGGCCATTTCCAGCTGCTGTGGTTGGATGTTTCTGTAGCTTGCCAGCGCCCAATCATCGGTGCTGGCTGCTCCAGAGATCTTCCTTCACTGCCACAGCTGATAGCTGCTGGAGGCCTTGCTTGGAGGCATCCCACTCTCCACTGTTGTGTGGCTGCCATTCACGGCTACTGCTTTCCCTCTCCACTTCGGCACCCTCCTGATTGCTCCGATGCCCTCCTTCCTTGTTGTCCTTGACCAGGACATAGTTGGTCCTGAGCATTTTGGTGCCTCTGCCACTCCATCACCACCAATTGCGGCCAGGAAGTTACAGCTGGGAACGCTGCCACTGACTGTTGTGGATGTTGCTGAAGACCACCATTGTTGTTACCACTGGTGTTGCTGCTGGTTGCTTCGGAGACTAGCCAACATTTTTCCTCCAGGGCCTCATTTTACCATTTCTGCTGGCGACAGTCAGTGCCTGCCGCTGGTGTCCTCACTCCAGAGGACTTTCCATCGTGGCTGGTTTGGGGGCCTTGATCTTTTTATACTTTGGGGGGAGTTTAAAACAATTACATATGACATGTAATATTACATATAATATTGCATATAATATGTAATCTTCACTACCTATAAGACCTAGGGGTGGGGAGGCTGCAGGCTGGGAACCGTTGTGCTATCATTGCTTTTGGCATTTGCACTGTTAGACCTGATCAATTGACTGGCACTTTAATTGGTGAGTTGACCCACTGACTGTAATTTATTGCATAATCTGCCTGCACTTTAGAGTGTCTTGTATTATCTACCTGCATTTTATTGACTCTAATAATCTTGAAGTTTGTTCCCATGCTGCTATCTAGACCTCTGCACTTGGCACTTGTGTTTGCTCTTTGTGGAGTTGGAGGGAGCTGGCGGGGGTGGTAGAGGGGTTTAGTGGTTGCAGGACAGGGAAAGAAAATGAGTGAGGGAAGGGAGCCAATTTTTAATGAGCTATCAAGCCAAACAACTATTATTGAGCCATGGGTTGAGTGTGAGGAGGTTGGGTGTGTGTGTGTGGGGGGGGGGGGGGAGTTCCAGTGGTTGGGGGGCCCCATAGGAGTAATTTTGGGGAAGGGGGGGATAAGGGAAAGTGAGACTATCAATTCGATCTAGGGAACAAGAGAGAGTACTTGTAGTTCCAAAATGGTCTCCTGAAATGGTAAAACTGAGTATCCAGGATGGCAGTCCTTCTGGATTAAGGGTAGTGCCGTTGAATGCCAGGATTTAATTCTGGATGAGCGTGCAAATCTGGCGTGCATAATGGAGACTAGGCTGGATGAGGCTGGAGGAGTCAATCTTATCCAGTTTTGCCCACCAGGCTTCTCCGTGCAGCACCAGCTGAGATCTGGAGGGTGGGGAGACGGGGCTGCAGTGGTCTATAGGGATTCCATCTCCCTGACCAGGTGCCCCATCCCACAGTCATCCACTTTTGAATGTGTCATCATGAGGGTTGGTGATCGGGACAGAATAGGGATTCTGCTAGTGCACCGACCACCCCGCTGCACTATAGTCTCCTTGCCTGAGCTAGCTGGGGTGATCTCAAGCCTGGCTTTGGAGTCCCATCAGCTCATAGTGTTGGGGGGCTTCAATGTCCATGTGGAAGCCACCCTATCAGGAGTGGCTCAGGGCTTCATGGCTACCATAGTAATTATGTTGCTGTCCCTACTAGTATCTGGTCCTACCCACAGAGCTGGGCACACACTAGACTTGGTTTTCTGCCAGGGATGGGAGGAGGGTGGCGGTGTGGAGGAGCTGACCATTGCTCACTGCCATGGACCAACCATCACCTGATCAGGTTTAGGCTTACTGTGCACCCCAACCTCTGCAGGGATGAAGGACCAATTAAAATAGTCCACCCCAGGAAGCTTATGGATCTGGATGGATTCCTGATGGCTCTTGGGGAATGTCCTGCCACCTCAGTAGGTGATCTTGTTGATGCTCTGGTCTCTATCTGGAATAGGGAGCTGACTAGGGAAGTAGACTCAATCACTCTGAAGTGTCCCCTCTTGAATAGCAGAGCTAATCCATCTCCTTGGTTGAACAAGGAGCGGGAGCGATTAAGCAAATGAAAAGGGGTCTAGAGGACACGTGGCATACCAAGTGCAACAAGTCAGATCAAATACAGCTGTGTCTCTATCTAAGGGCATATGCTATGGCAATAGATGCTGAAAATAAAACTTTCTTTACAGCTAATATTGCGTTCACAAGGAACCTTCCGGCAGAGCTATTTTGAGTAGTCAGAAGTTTGTTAAATCCTGTCTCCCAAGACAGGATCCCTGACAACTCGGCAGTTCACTGTGAAGCATTCGCTCGATGCTTTGTGGACAAAGTCGCTCTGATTTGCTCCAATTTAGACACCATATTAACAGCAGTCTCTGAGGATGTAAGACAAGCACCTGCTTGTCCAGTTTTGATGGATCCATTTCAATTGGTGCAGCTCGAGGATGTGGACTAGATACTTGGAGAGGCGAGAGCAACTACATGTATCCTGGACCCCTGCCCATCCTGGCTGATAAAAGAAGCCAGAGGGGGTTTGGCTGAGTGTGTGAGGGTGGTGGTTAATGCTTCCCTATGGGAAGGCAAAATTCCAGTCAGCTTAAAAGAAGCTGTAATAAACCACCTCTGGGAACTCCCTCCCTAGCGACATTAGATCAGCCCCCCTCCCTCCTAGCCTTCAGAAAGAGAGTAAAAACCTGGTTCTGGGACCAGACCTTCAGAGAAGCAGAGCAATAATATAATACAATTGGAATATGTGCAATGACTACAGAACAGCCTCAGACTACAATTTTCAGATGGCGTGATTTTAATATTGAATGTAATTTTAAATTTCGGCCGTCACCACCCCCAGCTCCTTCAAGGTCAGTCCAGTCACTTCAAGGATGCCATCCATCCATCTTGCCCTTGGTCGGCCCCTCTTCCTTTTACCTTCCACTTTCCCCAGCATAATTGTCTTCTCTAGGCTTTGCTGTCTCCTCATGATGTGGCCAAAGTACTTCAACTTTGTCTCTAGTATCCTTCCCTCCAATGAGCAGTCGGGCTTTATTTCCTGGAGGATGGACTGGTTGGATCTTCTTGCAGTCCAAGGCACTCTCAGAACTTTCCTCCAACACCACAGTTCAAAAGCATCTATCTTCCTTCGCTCAGCCTTCCCTAAGGTCCAGCTCTCACATCCGTAGGTTACTACAGGGAATACCATGGCTTTGACTATGCGGATCTTTGTTGCCAGTGTGATGTCTCTACTCTTTACTATTTTATCGAGATTGGACATTGCTCTCTTCCCAAGAAGTAAGCGTCTTCTGATTTCCTGGCCACAGGAAATAAATAAATAGGCTATATTTCAGAGGAAGAAACTGGCAAAACCATTTCTGAGTGTTACTTGTTTAAGAAAAGTCTATGAAGCCTATGGGGTTGCCATAAACCAACTGGATATCATGATGTGCCTCATTAAGACTAAAACACAGATCGTCAGTATCCAAGTCTAGAGGTCACATACAAATAGTTCTTGAATTAAAACCTAATCCACAATCCCAGTGCCCGTGAGTGTCCACGTTCTGAGGTCAAACAAGCCAGTAGGTAACAGTATAACTAATTGTAAGACAGAATCCAAAGTACTTCAGTCTAGTTCCAGCCAATGGTTCACAACTCCAGTCACACGAGTTCACAATAACACCATCCAGCCCGATGTTGCCTCCTGCACAAGACTGTGAACTCAAGAGTATTTTATACTAAAGTCATGGGTGTCACTTGTGGATAGCCTGCCTCTCAGCTAATCTGGTAGACCTGTGTAATTAAGCTTGCTCTCAGCGAAATTGCATATGAGAGGGAGCAGTTAACCCTTCAGCAGCCAGCCCTGAAGTCTTGGCTTCTGCTTCCTCCTCTGTTAGGACATGGAGGCTACGTGGTTTATAGTGCTTTATTAGGTGTACGGCTTGCTTGCATAGGGGTCCTCAAACTTTTTAAACAGAGGGCCAGATCACAGTCCCTCAAACTGTTGGAGGGCTGGATTATAATTTGGACAAAAATATGAATGAATTCCTATGCATAGTGCACATATCTTATTTGTAGTGCAAAAAACCCCCCACTTAAAAACAATGCAATAATTAAAGTGAACAACAATTTTAACAAATATAAACTTATTAGTATTTCAATGAAAAATGTGGGCCTGTTTTGGCTGATGAGATCGGATTTTTGTTGTTGTGTGCTTTCAAGTCGTTTCAGACTTAGGTTGGCCCTGAGTGAGGGCCAGGTAAATTACCATGGAGGGCCGTATCTGGCCCCCGGGCCTTAGTTTGGGGAGTCCTGGCTTGAACCAATATTTTAATCAAAAGACTTAATGTGGGCGTATGAGGCTACTTTTACCTTATTCCAGTTTCCCAATTTCAGTGCTCTATTGATTAAAGTTACAGAACATACCAAATGTCATTATACAGGAACATGGATTTGTATTTCTCTTCTGGCAAAAGCTTAAAGAGAGGTGAGGCTTCTGGAAATTCCCATTCTGGTATGGTTTGCCCGGCTCCCTCCTTGTAGATGAAAAGGTAAATCAAAATAGACAGACACATCACTGGTCCATAAAAACACTTGTATCTGTTGGAAAGCAGAAAAAAGAATCAGTCTCCAAGCCAACTCTGTACTGTTTCTTCAACTCAAAGATTATCTAAATCAATACAAATAATGTGAGCCTTTTGCACTGACCCAGAGTGTTTCCATATTGTGTGCCAGTACAACATTATCCCAGATTACTGAATGTCAGAACAGGGTCAAGCTTCATATTTGGAATCCAACTCTGAGATTATTATGGATCAACAGAAAAATGCTGATTTTTTGAGCACTGATGACCTCATCATACGGGCAAAGTTGCCCGTATGATGACACTTTCACCTCAGTTCAGAGACTGAGCCTGCTGGATTCAATCAGACAGCATATATCTACTTCTGGTGGGTCTCCTGTCCCTGAACTGAGGTGAAAGTGTTGTAAAAGGGAGTAATGAGGCTCCCCCCCCCCCCCCCCGTGAGATTGGTAAAGAGTGAGGCAGGCAATGAAGGGCACAGGGTTACGGGTTCCCCACACTACCCGTCGAATTCGTCATGATGCTTGGCGAATCCTCCAGCTATTGCGTACTATGTGAACCTCAATGTGATGAGGTTCTGAGACAATGTGGTGTAGATGTTTTAGGGCTGGACTATGACTCTGTAGATCAGGGTTTGAATCCCTCTCTTGGACATGGAAACACACTGATTTTGTATTGAAGTATTGAAGTAATAGGTAGCGTGTTCTTCAGGAACCTCTTCACACTGCCCAGTTTTTGGTGGCAACAATGGGAGTTTTCTACTTCAGTCATGGAGCCCGATGGTTCTCAGCACACCCCAAGAAAGTACTTTTGGGGTGGCTCCATGGCTGAACTGCTGCAAAACCCCTGACATCGCTGAAAAATTGCTGGTGGCAGTCAATGAAAAGCTCCCTGTTTTTCCATAGGGAAAGATGAGCTTAAGGAGGCTTCCCCCCATTTGATGATGTGGGAGAAAGCCAGGACAGTGCGGGGCACAGGACAATAGGTCCCCACACTCCCTGGGCAGGTGCCAGCGGAATCACCGGGCTCCACAGCAATCCAAGGCGATTCTGGCGGCGCATGTGACAAGGCCCCGGGATTACTGTGCCATGTCCTTCTAAGCCCTATAATAGCACCGTTGTTATCAAAACCTAGAAGCTAGGCTTTGGCAAGTTACACTCTCTCAGCCTCAGAAAACGTTAGGGTTGTCATAACTCAGAAAGAACTTGAATTAGAGCAGTGATTCCCAACCTGTTTTTGACCAGGGGCCACTCTCCAATATTAGTACCAAAAGGGTTACAAATCAGTTTTTGGTCAACTTTAGATTCAGTTTGGTTATTTGGGGTGCTGATCCACAAAATTCCATTGGATAGATCACATCAGTTCTTTGTTTCTGATACAGAACATATGCCACCCAGTAGTCACCATCTGCTCACCCACAGAAAATCATATTTAATAAGCCTTGGCACTATAAGAGGGTTTCATGAGACTAGTAGTTCTCGTTGCAACGGTATAGTAATGGTGAGGCCTCGGACTATGTTTTAGTTCTTGCAGACTACTGGTGGTCCATAGACCACAGGTCGTGAACCACTGCATTACAGCTAAAAACCCGGTTTGATAAAATAACGAATCCCTTTGAAACCTTCATAGTATCTATTCACCTAGGTCAGCATTTTATACATTCATATGCTCAGATTGTAGGTTTGTGTGTAAGCATTTCTCTGCTGGTGAGGAATCTTTGCGTTTATTATAAAGCAGCTCAGAATTGCCCTCCAAATGCGAAGTCTGACAATGTTTAGAAATTCAGAAAACCCAGATATGCTTAGAAAACTTTACAGTAGTACAAAATGCTATTTGAATCAGAGCAACCTTTAAACCTAGTTTTCCCCAGCTGTCCTTCAAATGTTTTAGACCAGTGATTCTCAACCTGGGTCCCCAGATGTTTTTAGCCTTCAACTCCCAGAAATCTTAACAGCTGGTAAACTGGCTGGGATTTCTGGGAGTTGTAGGCCAAAAACATCTGGGGACCCCAGGTTGAGAACCACTGTTTTAGACTTTACCACATCAGATATTACTAAGGAGCTTTCAGTGGTGCAATGGGTTAAACCCTTGTGCTAGTAGGCATGCTGTCCAAAAGGTTGGCGGTTCGAATCCGAGGAGCAGGATGAGCTCCCGTCTGTCAGCTCCAGCTTCTCATGTGGGGACATGAGAGAAGCCTCCCACAGGATGGTAAAAAAATTCCAGGTGTCCCCTGGGCAATGTCCTTGCAGATGGCCAATTCTCTCATACCAGAAGCGACTTGCGGTTTCTCAAGTCGCTCCTGACATGAAAAATAAAATAAAAATCAGATAGTATCAATATATCTGGTGTAATTTTATGTATAGATGGTACTGAACTCCATATAAATAAAAAAAAATATTCAAAGGTGAATGGCAAGATTTTATTTATTTATCGTGTCGGGGCAACCAGGTGATTATATTACATTTCTAACAGAACAAAAACAAACAAACATACACAAAACAAAATTTGCAAAATTTGGCAAGATAAGGATGGGGCATTCTTTTGGCCTAAGATATGTTGATTCAGAAAATTCAAATGGCAGATTTTGTAATGCTGCCAGAAACTTTTTTAATGGGTGTTATGCCTAAAGAATGAGATAGCAAACACAGGCAATTCCATTGATATATGCTAATAGTTGGCAAGAATACTATTTGCTCATGCAAAGAAACAGACTGAAACATTCAAAACAGAAGCACAGGTAGTCAAGGTTACAGAACTTGCCCAAGTTGCTAAACCAACCTACACTAAAAGGGACACATTGATTTACAATTTTTAAAAAAATTGGAAATTGGGAATAGACTTCTTGAGAAATAAGACAACCAGCTACATAATAATTTGCAGCTTTTGATCTTTTTAACACTAACAAGTTAGATGCTTATTTGTAATTAGCTGTGTTAGTTAGCTAGGTTTCTGTAGTTAATCCAGTTTTAGACCTACCGGTATATTTTAGACAAAATCTTTTTTTCTTTTGTTTTGTTTATGCATGTTGATTAATTATTATTACTACTGTGTGTAAGAATTATTTCTGTTCCAAACATTTAAAATAAAGAATACATATTCAGGATGATTCCTGTAATGGCAAAACAATGGCTCCTGTCAACCTTACACTGCATACATGTGTACACAAATACCTTTCTCCACAGTACATGATCTATAGCAGTGTGTCTCAACCTTACTAATGCAGCGACCCCTTAATACATAACATCATTTTCGTTGCTACTTCTAGCATAATGTCTAGATCTAGGGAAGTAATGCTACCTCTCTATTCCGCTTTGGTTAGACCACACCTGGAATATTGTGTCCAATTCCGGGCACCGCAAGAGAGTTATTGACAAGCTGGAATGTGTCCAGAGGAGGGTGACTAAAATGATCAAGGGTCTGGAGAACAAGCCCTATGAGGAACGGCTTAAGGAGCTGGGCATGTTTAGTCTGAAGAAGAGAAGGCTGAGAGGAGAGATGATAGCCATGTATAAATATGTGAGAGGAAGCCACAGGGAGGAGGGAGCAAGCTTGTTTTCTGCTTCCCTGGAGACTAGGACGCGAAACAATGGCTTCAAACTACACGAAAGGAGATTCCATCTGAACATAAGGAAGAACTTCCTGATTGTGAGAGCCGTTCAGCAGTGGAACTCTCTGCCCCGGAGTGTGGTGGAGGCTCCTTCTTTGGAAGCTTTTAAACAGAGGCTGGATGGCCATCTGTCAGGGGTGATTTGAATGCAATATTCCTGCTTCTTGGCAGGGGGTTGGACTGGATGGCCCACGAGGTCTCTTCCAACTCTTTGATTCTATGATTCTATGATTCATAATTGTAATTTTGCTACTGTTATAAATTCTAATGTAAATATCTGATGTGAAGGATGTATATTCATTTACTGGATGAAATTTGGCACAAATAACTGCTATGCCCAAATTTGACTACTGGTGGGGTTGTGTGGGATTGACTTTGTCTTTTGGGAGTTGCTGGGATTTATAGTTAACCTACAATCAAAGAGCATTCTGAACTCCACCAAAGATGGAATTGAACCAAACTTGACACACAGAACTCCCATGACCAACAGGAAATACTGGAAGGGTTTGGTGGGCATTGACCTGGAGTTTTGGAGTTGTAGTTCACTTACATCCAGAGAGCACTGTGGACTCAAACAATGATGGATCTGGACCCAACTTGAAACGAATACTCAATATGCCCAATTGTGAATACTGGTGGATTTTATGGAAAATAGACCTTGACATTTGAGAGTTGTAGTTGCTGGGATTTATAGTTCACCTACAATCAAAGAGCATTCTGAACCCAACCAACGACAGAATTGGGACAAACTTCCCACACAGAACCCCCATTACCAATAGAAAATACGGTGTTTTCTGATGATCTTTGGTGACCCCTCTTATAGCCCTTCATGACCCCCCCCCCCTTGCAGAGGTCCCAACCTTGAGGTTGAGAAATACTGAGCTAAGGACTTTTAGCATGGAGTGGTTCTATGTTATCCCTTTTGCTTTGGGCTCTCATCACTGTTAGAGCTCTCCTCTGCTGCTGTAAGGTTTTTAATATTTTATTTATTTTATTGTATTTTAACTGAATTAATTCCACTTGATTCATTCAATTTTATTATGTGCTTTTGGTATAATTTTCATTGCATTTTCTCAAAATCTGACTTTGGTTTCTACTCTTTGGGGTAAGTGAGATATAAATAAAGAAATAATAATATCATAATGCACTCAAGCATGAGGCTGAAAGAAATTTTCACTTTTATTCTAAAGAAAGCAAACACAATTTGTTGAAATGTGCTAGGACTGGTTTATTGATAAGGATCAACAGAGTTATCCACTTTTTTTTTTAACTGTCCTCGTGGGCACGACTATAGGGACTGCCATGATGACTACCTGCCTTTCAGCATTTAACATATGGCATTACTTCTATAGGATTTTGTATGTGAATATTAGACTTCACCCGATGCCCTTGAGATATCTAAGAAATGCTGCTACCTGAGGAAAATGACAAATGGCATGCTTTATTCTATAAACCAGTGTTTCTCAACCTTCCTAATGCTGTGACCCCTTAATACAGTTCCTCATGTTGTGGTGACCCCCAACCATAAAATTATTTTCATTATTACTTCATAACTCTAATTTTGCTACTGTTATGAATCACAATATAAATATCTGATATGCAGGATGTATTTTCATTCGCTGGACCAAATTTGGCACAAATACCCAATAGGCCCACATTTGAATACTAGTGGGGTTGGGGCGGGGTAGGGGGGTGAGAATTGGTTTTGTCATTTGAGAGTGGTAGTTGCTGGGATTTAGGTTCACCTACAATCAAAGAGCATTCTGAACCCCACCAATGATAGAATTGAACCAAACTTGGCACACAGAACTTCCATGACCAAGAAAAAAAATACTTGAAGGGTTTGGTGGGCATTGACCTTGAGTTTTGGGAGTTGTAGTTCACCTACATCCAGAGAGCACTGTGGACTCAA